TAACCATAGGAAATGTATAGAGTACAGTAAGGAGAATATGCATACTGATGTTAGGGTGTGAAGGGTTAATAGCGTTTAAAGGGGTGTTCAGTGCGCACGCTGTAATCGGAAACGAAAAACGAAACGGAATAACGAGTCGTTTTACGGTCGCTTTGGAATCACAAACCAAACTAGGGCGCTTCCCACGCTCTCTTGTGTTTTTTCGTTGCGTCAAAGCGCGATATGGCGTGTGCGCGTCTTCGAATGGCTGAGAAAAATCAATTTCCTCTTTTTGAATCGGAATAATACTCCGCCGGAAACAAAGTTGTTTGTAAACGCCTTTCAAGGTGGATGGATTCTTCGCTGTCTGGTTTACTCGAAGTCGAATTCGGAACTTTCCGTCAGCGCTGACATCACTCCTCTTTCTTTTGTTTATCAATCTAATCGCTTTTGGGATAATTATAGTCTAGTTTTGTGCTTGCTCAAGGGTGCAGTCAAGCGTTTCTGCCGCTTACAGAATCTAAGGATTGACTGTTCATTTTTCGTTGTCATTTACAGGTTACTGTGGTTACTGACCCGAACCTCTCACGAGGAGAGTCATCTCGCGAAGCTTCTGTAGATCAGCGCGAGAGACTTTTGAACACCTCTCACAGCTAGCTGAAGGGCAGAGCCGGTGAGCCTTCGTTGCTCATGGTATGCGGTGGTACCATTGGGGAAATGCGGAGAGACGTGCATTCCTTACCGCACAAAAGAAGTGTCTTCCGAAGAAAATTAAATAATTTGGTAGAAAAATAATTACAACTAGATTTTGAAGATGTTTGAGAGTCTGGCTGATGATGAAGTTGCAATTCGTGTTGATCTAATTGCTACTTTTGTCGCGTTCAGAATAAACCCTTACGGTGTTGTGGCTATTTTGAGATCACGATATCATGAGCATGCTGAATTTATTCAAAGTGGTCACCAACTAGATCAATGGCCTATTCTTTTGATTTGTTGTTGAATACCTTGATTTCGGTTATGGACCAATCAAAATGAAGGCACATGGAGAGCGGTGTCGTGTCTCTCTCCTCAGAAGTAGCGCCCTTTCGAGGAAAATGGGCCTAGTTCATTAAGTCAAAGCGGAAGGACGAGATTTGCCTCAATGTCGTGCGCGAGACCCAGTTTACCAGCTTTACGTTCAACCGTCGAACAAAAGCCAAGGACTTTTCTAGCGACACAGTGGTCGCCCATTAAAATATTCATATCACGCTACTGATACAAAGTAACGGACCGTCTGAGCGGTAATAATGACGATCGGAAATAACGATTAGTTAATTATGTTTTTTTGCAGAGAACACTGCAGTCGAATAATTTTTTATGGTAGCCTTAACAAGTCCTGTATTTGAATTAAATTTTTATTCTGAACAACATTCAATTTTACAAGGCCTGTTTTAAGAATTAATGAAGAAATGTAAAATGGTTTCCGTGTTTACATAGCCTGATGTAAACACTTGTGAGGTTGGGAGAATACGAGATAAGCGTAGGAAACGTTACTTGCGCAACGAGCTTGGCCGAAAAGTAAGGACTACTCGTGATGTAGTTTTGAGTTCATAGTTCATATTTCAGCCCTAATACGTGTACCTAGCCTATGATAAGATTATCAATATTTTCACGGCTGATGAGAAAAAAGAAAATGGTATTATCTACTGAGTTGATAACATAAATTGGCGAAGGAGGAAACGTGGGTTGTAGGCGTGCTTCTATGCATAAAATGGACCCACGCTATTGGTGGGAACATAGCAACGACAAAAACAAGAATAGATTAGTTGAATGAAAAGCGTTCGTTAACACCTTAGGATTAAGAGTTCCGATTTGAAATATAAATTTTTGTTCTTCAGTCTTGTCGCTTTCCGAACTGCTAAGACTCAATGTGGAGAAAAACCTTTCGTCTCGTTTGTGAGAAGTGTTTATCGATGGCAGAGAATGAAGATTGTAAAAATTTGATAAAGGAAAGGATTTATCGGTGAGAATTGTGATTTTGAAAAATATGAATTTTGCTATTAGGTGTTCGAAGGCCAATTTCCTTTCAATTTTATCTAAGGTATCGAAAGAACAAAATGGAATCTGCGATTTATACACGCAGCGAAATTCATTCAATGGTTAAGTCTGCTAAAGTTTAGGCCGTGTCATGCACCACTTCTTTGCATTCGCTGAGGTTCTTTCCTGCAAATCTCGACTTTCAAATTATTTTGCTTAAACGATTTCCGAACTTGATATCATTAGAGCGTCCTCAAATTCTTTATATTCGTCTTAAACACATCTAACACCTGCTCGAAACACCTTATTTTCAGATGCTTTTTTCTTTATTATTGTTGTGTTTGATTTTATGGTTCTGGGACCTCTTCAATCGAAGAAAGATCACTTCTGTAAAGTCTTACTGCAAATTGTTTTACGCCGCCATTATTTTGAAGTTCTTTATTCCGCTGTTCTAACGCAGGTGCGGTGGTTGTTCTTACAGTGAAAACTTCACCCCGGAAAATGAAAAGAGATCTGAAATTGTCGGTAATAACCTCTGTTTCCCTGATGTCATTCAAGCAGGCTCTGCACATTTCACAAATCCGCCCCCAGATATTTTTTACTCCGGCTCGAAAATCCCTCTTACGGATGGAGTAAATTATGGGGTTACACCCAGTGTTAGCTAAAAAGATACAGTTCACCACAATTATTGCCTCAGCTGGAAATTTGCTGCTCTCGATGTGAAGACGATATAGACCAGCGAACCAGTAAGGAACATAACAAACCAGAAAAGCCGAGATGATAATGGTTACATCAACAGCTGCCTTCCGCTCGTTAAACCTCCTTGCTGCATTTCGCGGTTGGCTTTCGGAATCTGAAAAACATCCTAACTGGACCGCAGCTATTGCGTTTGCGTGCAAATTGTTTACCGTCTTTAAAACTGATCGGTTCAGAAAAAAGATCACGAGAAAGGGCGAGAGAAAAGAAGTCACGGCGAAAATACTGATGAATATTTTGGAAGTGGTGTTGTTTACGGACCATCTATGTTCGCAGACGAACACTTCAGGGTTATATGTATATAGTAACTCTCCCCAACCGAGTAACGGACCAACGGAGAATGGTACCGGGATCAGCCAGATGAGAACCAGAGACAGCACCCTGCACTTAGTTATCTTACCATTGTATGTCAAAGGAGATTTGACAATGGCCTTGTATCGCTCATAAGATACAGCTATCAGATGAAGAAGTGTATTTAGATATAAGCATCTCCCAAAGAAGGGATTGAGATAACACAGAGTCTCACCAAACGGCCATCTTTCTATTGCTGTACTTGTTATTCGGGGAGAGTTGACCAGGATTAAGCAGAGCGCGTCTGAAACTGCTAGGCTGGCGAGATAAATATAACGCATCACATGAAGTTTTTTCTCCAAGACGACCGTGGCTATCACCAGTAAATTTCCAGAGAGACCGATGGCGTTTAAAAGAGAATGAACCACTGCCATGATTTGAAGGAAAACCATCCTGTTGAAAAATACTGCCGAGTAAGACGTCAAGGGGTTCTTGTTTTTTGGTTTGGCGTGTCCGAAAAAACGTCAAAAAAAGAACTTTTGTCTCTCAGTTCATGTTATACCCACGCTCTTACTTTGGACGCGATCTTTTCTGCTCTCAGTTGTCTAAAAGAGATTATTGAAAGTAGTTATGAAAAAGAAAGCATTTATACAGGCCCAAGTGGTCCATGGGGCCGGCGCTTAACTCCGGTTTCCTTTAGCATGAAGCGGCTAGGAGTATTTCTACTCCCCTCTGGATGGGATGCTAGTCCATCGCAGGGTTACCCCCAGCTTATTTGCTGGTACCCATTTGTACACCTGGGTGAAGAGAAGTACTGTGAAAGTAAAGTGTCTTGCCTAAGAACACAACAAAATGATCCCGGCCAGGGCTCGAGCCCGGATCACTCGATCCGGAGTCGAGCGCACTAATCATGTGGCCATCGCACCTCTTAGAGTTGAAAATAGAAGGAAAAAAAAAAATTGTTTTTCCGCGGGTTTCTTGGCGGATTTTTCAGTGTACTATCTGGTTCATAATCTACTTTCCTGAGCCATCAACAAATTCTAATGAGTGAAGAAATCGTCTCATTTTAATTCAATTCAACATTAATAGGCCAGAAACACAGCCGTTCACAGTTAAAAATGGATTGCGAGATCTTTACAAATGAGAAAATTTATTAGGCCATGAAAAAAAAAATTGATAAATAAATAAAAAAATAGAAAAGTGTGGTGAGATTACCCAAGTCGAAGACCAAACTTACCGGTTACTGATTGAATATCATTTCTGTCCAGAAGTTGATTTTAAAAATATAGATAATTCCAAAAAATCCTCCGTCATGCGTTAAAAGAAATTATCCACCCACAAAAACATCGATCGGACAGCTGAATTTCTGACGGCAGGATAGTATTCATCCAAATCATCGCGGTGTTTCAGTCTCCTTTGGCGTCATCGGTCTTCCGGGACATTTACCAATGACGGCACCGGTTTTCTTGGAGAAAAGATATCATGTGATGCAGTATGTTCATCTCCCCAGCCTCGCAGTTTCACACTCTGCTTTATTATAGTTAGCTCGTTGCGAGTAACAAGGACAGCGCTTAAAGGAAACCTCAAAAATCAAAATGGAGAATTAAGGGGAGGAGATTAGAATGCAACAGAGCCTTAGAGGCTCAACATCCCCCCCCACCGCACGGCTATGAACAATAAATAATAACTAGTCCCATATAAGAGTTTGAGTGTTGCTCTCACTTACAGGCACTTTCCCCATGCCAGTCTTCTGGGCTCGCTTCGAAAGGTATCGAAGCTGGGCTGTTGAGGTCAAATTAAATGACATCGCATCTGATTAAAAAACAAACAAACAAACAAACAAACAATAAAAATAATCAATTTTTTTTTGGTTTCCTACTAAAGAACGTTAAGGGCCTGCAGTTCGTAAGTGATTTAACTTTCTCTATGAGAATGAATTTTAACATGACCATGTTGAATTTGCTATCAAGTTCGTGCTGGTGTAGTTTGAAAGGATGGATGAACCACAACTTGTTTTTCGGAAAGTACACAAACCAGAAAAACCTGCTATCAGTGACTCGCGGGTCACCTTTGCGTACATCTCCTGGAATGTAGTAGCCCGGGAGTCGACCGATATTGTCATTTTTTTCCAGGAAACGAATCATAGTTGGAATGGCAATTTCCAGAAAAACTTTTCTTTCGTAGAAAATCTCTGAAAGTATTGAAAATGCTTTGGCGTGTTTGTAAGGAATGTACAGAATATCAGAGCGGCCACTGAAACATCGTAACGTCCCGTTACTGTTTTTAAAGAGAGCGCTTATATGATATTTTACGTTGAGTTTTTTCGGCCCCGAGTTCATGTTCGCCACGTCTTCGCAAGCTCTTCGGCAATTGTTCAAGCCGTACGGAGATATCCACCAGTACCACTTACTGTTCGCGGGCTCATAAATAGGCGTAGAACCAAACGAGAACGAAGATTCCCAAATTTTTCCTCTGTCAAAATCCAGGAAATTCCAATAATTAAGTATGACGTCATCGTTTATATAAAAATACCCCTTGTATCCCGGATGTTCCCTTATTGCCCTACCAAGACACTCATATCCTAAAATACCTCTGTGAACATCGACAATTAAAATTCCAGAACGTGTTGTATTATGAGGTGGACCGCAGAATAACAAATGAGGAAAAGCTGGTCTGTAAAGAGCCGCTAGATGAGGAATACTGTCATAAAGTGGATAGTTGTAAGCAATAACGAGTAAAATTTCTTTAAAGGCATCCTTTAAGCAAGGGCTGTCGTTCTCCATATTCATTCGAGGGCTTTCATTTGATAGTACTTTGCTAAAAGATCGTTGACTGCTCGATTGTTCCATGTTACGACTTCTTGTGCAACTGTAACCTGACATATAAGAAGGAAAAAATAAATGAGACAAGTCTTTTTCTCAGATCTGCAACTCGATGTACGGGAACTTTATGATGGTGCACTGTCGTTTCAAATGAAATCAACGCGGAGCTTTCGCACGTTAACCCCCTAACTCCCAGAAGGGATTAACATGTAACTTCTCCCTGTAAAATTCATACATTCTCCAGCAAACAGGTAAAGAGAATATTCAAACATTAACGTCTTGTAACTAATTGAAAGGGAAATGTACAACAGCTAGAGGAGAGAATTAATGATCAAATCGTGGGAGCCAAAAGGTTAGGATAACTTTCACACACTGGTGCAAATTATTCACTTAAAAATCTACTAGGATTATATTTGAGATGATACGTTTTACACAGTCCGATAAGAAACCTGAACTCGAAAGAATGGGAAAAGGGAAGCTGATTCGGATATTTTTTTTTAGGGACATGATTTGAAGTTTCTAGGCATTTTCTAATACTAATTATGTAAGGCTGTAGACAGTTCGAAAATTGCTAGATCTTTTACATCATTTACACCACAGCATTTCTCTATGTCTAATGTCTTAACCATGGAATGAAGTTTGTGCACTACCGTTGACTTTGTGGTGGCTAAATGCCTCTGCATGACAATTCCCTTACCTGAGTAAATTGCCAAAATAACCATAGCAACAGTGCATGCAAGACATAACGGCAATCGTCTCAGGAGAAATCCTTGAACAGGAATGCAACATGTGGTGTGAAGCATTCCTCTGAATGGAAAAACAAACCCAAACAACATGAAAAGTTTAAAATCACCCCTCAGAAAAATATGATAAATTTGCATCTGGGAATAACAGTGAATCTTGTGGTAAGACCTTTCGAAGGAGGGCAGCCGGCGTATGCCGACTGTAGCCTTCAAAGGACTGTGGAGATTTCAAAACCGTTAGCAGAAGTTACTATCAAGTTCAAGGAAACTAATTAGGTCTTGACTCTGACAATGAGTTCCCATACTGATTTGTACTCCTGAGCTGAGACAAGTGGAGCATTGAGTCTCCTTTCACTTAAGAGTCGTTTCTAAGAACAAAGCAGAACTCCCGCTTACAGTTCGAACCCAGACCTCTCGGTCTGGAATCCTAAATACCAACTACCATTAGGTTTGAGGCTAACACACATAACACGATACTAATAGACCATAGATACAAAGAAGATCTCCTGCTATCTACAACCAAAATTGAATCGAACCGTTAATCGCTACCAGAAAATTCAAAGCGATCGGCTCAATGATAGCTTGGTTCAAATTTCGTTGAAAGACACAGTTTCAATACTAGAATTAAAAGTTGTCTTAAAATATGGTGAACTCTCCAAAAAGCACTTGTGACTGAAGTTTGCGTACATACCTCAAAAATTTCTCGCTAAATTCCAGAAGAATAGTTAGATTCCATCTATGTGTTTCGCAAATAATTTTTCATTACTGGTTTGAATCCAAAGTGACCTGTTGCACTACCCACAAGGCTTCTGGTGGCTTTGCTCTTAAACCGAAATGCAGGTAGGGAATGCAGGTGGTCGATTGTCCGCCATTGTCTTTACTTTGCCAATTTCGCCTCATTAAGACGATTTATTTTATCGTAGGGAAGTACTTATTTAAATTCCAGAGATGATAAAAACCTATGCCGATACGTCATTTGACCAACTGGTTATGAGAGAGGAGAAACTAAATGATTAGTTAGTGGGGTTGATACCTTGATTTAAAGTCAAATTGTCTGAACTTAACACAAATAATTTCCACTGCGAGATTCTCCGTGTCCTCAACTTTCTCTTTGCATAAATATGAGCCCTCGATACTGTTGAGCAGTTCGTAAACCTTTGAATCTTTTCAATACATCTTGAATAGTCAAACTATTAGTAATCGACTGAACATCTTGATTTCACAGTGAGGAAGTTCATTGTTAAAAACTTCTCCCTGAAAATATCACCGCAAAATAACTTATATTACTGAAGATGAAGTCATCCTAAATTGATTTTATCAACAGACCTAAATAAGAGTAGCATAATATATACCTCATTTAGGTCTATTTCTGAAATATTGTTAGCTCAGACAACACTTGCTAAACTAAACTTTGTGATTTTGTCAAATAAAGGTTGTTTTTATGATTGCTGTTATAAATTCCTATGTAATATTTACTAGTCTCAATTTTCAACGCCATTTTGAAGCTCGATCTACTGAAACAGAGCTGGAAATGAAGTCGCGCTCAGAAAGTAATAAGTATCCATTTTTTAAAATTTACTTACCTGTCAAATCGTGCTTCTTATGTAAACGGAAGTCAAACAGCGTTTAAATAGAGTTCTCTGGAAAATCAATTTCCTCCCGAAATGAGTAGTGGTGCTGCATTTCTTAACCAAAAAAACGAACTTTCGTTTACATTAATTTAACAGCTTCGATTGCCTTCTCGTTGGCCTCTTTAGCAAAGCCTCATTGATCAGTGCTCTTCCCTTATTAAAACAATTTTGATTTTATCACGCTTAAGTCCGTTTTTGTCTTCTCGGGTTTAAACACGAGGATCTCTCTCTCCCTCTTTCTGATATGATTAAATGTCTTAGTTGATTTTCTCATTTTCCCAGCGACGTCAGGCTTAAGAAGATTATAAAATGCGATTCTGATCACCAACTCTGATCTTTCCCTTTCACGAGACTAGAACAGTCGATATTGATGTTAGTATTTAATAAGCGATCTGAATGTAAATTTTCAATATAGACGACAATTAGAGTTGAGATGATATTCCTTGACTGGGAAAAAACCTTAATTTTCTCTTTCATATGTCTGCAATTCAGAACTTTTCAATGGTATTTTCTCAGAATTTAACTCAATGCATTCTCAGGCTTTTACACTCCTCGCGATTTTCGCATGTTTCATTCCAGCGAAGAAAAAGAAAAAGCACAAAATACCAAGCTATTGATCAAATTTCACAATCGCCTTAAACAATGTCAACATAAGCTATGTTAAACGTGGCTGCCAAAGTTTTGAAACGTATGCTTACGATACGGTAAGGCAAAGGTACTATCAATTTTCAGAGAGATGCTGCAAGTAATTTTACCGCGATATCTAAATAAAGCTTTCAAAATTTAGATCAGGCTAGGATTGAAGCCAGACAAATTTTTTAATTGATCAGTTTTCCCCTTTCGCAATCAGTGATAGTTGTAAGCCTTTGTAAAATGTGACAAAAACTGTTTAATAGCTGCTCTTAAAGGTAAACAAATCTCGATAAATCGAGCTTTCAGCTGCAAACATTTGTGCTGAAATTTTATGAGTTCAGTCAGTGTACGTACTCGAATTTTTCACCTGGCTCCATAAAGAAAAAAAAAAGTTAATAGCCGCAATAGCGATGTTTAATGTTGTACACATAAGCAGAAATAGGTGAAATATCTTTTTATTAAAAAAAAAAAACTATGTTTGGTTTACCCATGTTTGGTGGAATTGTCGCCAACGATTCCTTGGTCTACATCTGAAAAGATAACTTTGTTTGACAGCCAATGTTGCGCAAATTTGACGGAAAAGTTTACATCTTCAAGGATAATAGCTGACATTAAATTGAAATGGCTGTGTTTTTTTATTGGAACAGAAATATCTCGGTTTTAAATTGTCATTGAATTGACTTGAGAAGTGAAGTCAAAATCTCTTAAAACTGATCATTCTTGTTTCGAAAACAAAAGAATCCCTTAAAGCCTGCAAATATGTCAGCTGACTTTACTAGAAGATGGATGAATGTTTAAATTGTACAAAGTTAAATTCACAGCTCCGTTGGAGGACGCCCGACGTCTCTTCAAAAAAATTGCTTTCATTGCCTGCCTAAATTTAGGAAGTCGCCAAGCGTAGATAAACGGATCAATGAGGAACTTAAGAAATAGAGTCGTGTCTATAGTAATATTCGCCATTGTAGCCTTGATTTGTGCTTCGTAAGTCTCTGGTCTCCAGTAAAGCGTCAAATACCACATAACAGTCACAGGAACGACAAAAATCAGTAGACATGTAGCAAGAAGTAAGCTTACCACAACAAAATGTTTCTGGTCTCGTTTTCTTCGATATTCCGAAGTGCCATCGATCTGCCACGGAGATAAACGAGCAACTTGACGACGGTACGAAATGTGTAGCGCAATATACGAGAGGAGGACGAGAAAATTTGTGAAGGACAGATTAAAAAATACGTCTATCTTTTGGATAATTTTCTCTGGAATGCCCAATAAAAACGAGCAGGAGAATAGCAGCGAGTAAACCCATATAACGCAAACGCAAGCTACTACCCTTTTCGTCGTAACAAGCTGTTTGTGGCGGTGTGGAAACGTAATCGCAATAAACTGCATCCAAGAGAGAGACAAAATTGTTAGACAAGACACGTTCATTGTTATACCAGACAGGAAACCAGCCAGTTTTAAAGTGCGGTTGTAATCTTCGTCGTTGAATGTATCTTTGTAGAGTTTAAAGTAAAAATACGCAAATAGTGGATCCACTGCGATTCCGGTGAAAAAATCCGCCAGAGCTAATCCGAAGATGAAAACGTTTGGAGGATGACGAAATGTCTTGAATGGGTCTTCATAAAGGACTACCAACAGTGCACAGTTCGAAAGAGTCGTCAGAACTGATAGACAACAAAGATAGAAAGCGGAGATAAGGCAAATGACAAAAAAGCGATTGCGGAGAATTTCAACTTCGCGGTTCAACAGGCCATTGGACATTTGTGTTTCGTTTAGCGAGTAATTCATAGAGGAACTCATGGTGAAATGTATGGCCAATTCTGCCATCTTTTCTGTATACCTTCTGATATAAAGTTGGATCAGTTACAGGAATGCAAGAAATCAGGCTGCACGAAGTTACAATGGTTGCAATTTGAGTACAAAATGATGATGATGTCTTTTATATCGTAATCATAAATGGATTCATTTGAAATTGTTCAAATATGACTGGCTCTATGCGTCAAATAGGATTTCATTTTTCTATTAAAAATGAAGTCAGCAAATAACACTTTGTCTTGGTTTGTTTGATGTGTGTGATGCAGTGACGTTTGAATTAGCAATGACGTCAGAGACACCATTTTTCAGCTTGATAGCTACTGTCAATTCATAACTGTGTAATTTCTTCAACAATGAAAGTTAAATATCGTATGTCAAGAAATACCAGCGGCTTTCAAAGTACTAAGAATGTCATCTTCACATGATTTATTCATTTGAAAAACTTTACGTTTGGATCCTTTCTCAAACTTTTTTAATACGCATGATATATATGTTATTTGCCGGCTGGGAGGTCCGTATGGTGAAAAACTGTGACCGAAAGCATTTTCAAGACCGAGGTCACAGTTTTTCACCATACAGACCGACCCTTAGCCGGTAAATAACATATTTATTGTTTTTAAACTTGACGAAATTCTTTCCGAAAGAACCCGAATGATTTAGGGCTGAAAATACGACAAGATCTTCCATAAACTGAACAATTTTTGAGCGAGTAAATAGTAGTTAAAATAGAGGTGATGCA